TTTCGAGCCTATACAGCTTGGAGTAAGACAACATGCATGAAGAGGATGATGTGGACAAAATACTCATTTGCCTAATAATTCTGCACTCCCTGTATATACACACATACATACATTGTCTACCAGTCTGTGGTGCAGAGGGGGGGTTGGCAGCATCAGTGCCAAAGATGTCAGCATGTAACAGGATCAGCAAACTGGTTCATGAGACTGGAACCATCACTGGCCAGAATCTGGAGGTATTTGAGTGATGAGGGACATTAGAGTCACTGATCCCATCATGGACCGCCCGTCTTATTCGCTCCACTCCACAGTACCGAGGCAGCAGAGCTCCTTCTCCCTCAGACTGATTCAAACCGTGTGTACATGGACACATACAAACCAAGGCCATAAAGAATGCTTGAGTCCCTTGAGACCTTCTCTATCAAACTGCGGCCCTTATTGCGACAGGTGCTGCTGTTCCTCAGAGGCGATTTGAACTATTTGCTAGATTTATGCTTTCTCAGTCTTTTCCCATCCGGGGTCATATTACCCAGGGCCGGGTTGCGGGGGCAACAACCTAAGCAGAGACCTCCCTCTCCTAGCCACCTCCTCTAGCTTTTCCGAGGGAACACTGAGGTGTTCCCAGGCCAGCCGAGAGACAGACTCTGGAGCGTGTCCCGGGTCCCCTCCCGGTGGGACATGCCACCTCAGCTGGCTCCGTCTGATGCAGAGATGTAGCGCTCTACGCCCCATCTCCCCGTTATCAGTTCAGTCAAAAAATCCTCACAGATGTTGGGCTGCATACAGATACAGACAGAAGAACTCGATCATGTGTTTCTCAGTGAGTTTGATGTTTTCAGGCCAAACTAGTTTCTCTGCTGGAAAACAAACTGATGTTGAACATCCCCACTGAAGCTCTGCTGTGTTAGTGGGAACGCAGCAGCTCAGCGAAGCTGCTCTCACACACACAGCAGCAGAATCCTCTTAGACATCAGTTTACAGCACAAACAGGCTCTTACTCTTTGCCTGAGGGTCCAGGATCAGTACTGAAGCCTGGAGGAGGATTTTTGGACCGATCGCTCTTCATAGACAGACGGCTGGATCCTGGAGGCTCTGCTGTGTCCTCGTCTTCCTCCAAACCGCTCATGTTCAGTCAGTCTGACAGAGAAACCAACAACACTGACTGTGAGTGCAGAACAAGAATCAGACAAACAAGTCTGTACAAGACTCGCGCCCAAGACTGGGAGACAAAGAAGTGTGACGGTCAGAGGATAATGAATCCAGAGACAGTGCAGCATTGAGCTGATCCTTCCATATTTTCCCTCCAGCTCACAGAGGCACAGCTGACTCAGAGACTTTGACCACAGAAGAAAAAGAAAATGGGACTAACGCTGTGTTTCTACTTCCTGCTCTGTCGACCGTGGAAATACAGTTTCGTGACTCTGGCAGAGGAATCCACGTGGTCACATGACAGGATGTGCACATTGATAACGTACTCCAGAGAGGTGGGCCTAAGTTTGTGTCTGGGCATATCTTTGTAATCAAATGCAGACAGTGCTGTTCATGCAATGTTATTCATGTGAGACCAACGTTGAGTTTGTGCTGCAGGAGGACACGGATGCACAGTGAAGTGAAGGAACCTGCACACCAGCGGCCCATTCTGTCATCAACACCATTTTCCCATACACTGTCATTTGGATCAATAGTTCGTCCCATAGAAACTTTCACAGGGGGACAGATAATCATCTCACCTGATGGCAACAAGTTAAGATCCGACCCGATCCCTCAGCACACTCCCTCATCGTATGATGTGTCCACTGAGCTCAGCTGATAAATGTCTTCATCGATAGTTCTGCATTTGAACTTTAGATACCGAGCACAGACACCAGGGGGCGTCCAATCAAAACGCTCGAGCCCTGCAAAGCCTGAGCCATGAAATAACTGCCAGGAAATTAAATGAAATCTTAAAAATGTCATTTGTAAATAAAGAAGTATTAGTTTTAATGTGAGAATGTCCCTCCCACTTTGCTTCATGCCTGTGTTCAGTTACCTGTCCCCAGGTGAGGGGCGCACCCTACTATCAGCAACAGGGGGCGGAGTCCACTACAAGCCTCCCTGCAGGTGTTAATGATGTTTTTTCCTGAAGGGGTAAAATAACGTGAAACATCTGCCAAACTAAAACTCGAGGAGTTTGAGTCCACAAGAATCGCTGTGATTCTCTTACCTCTGCAGAGAGGAAGATGACTCGGAGACTCTGAGGATAGAAGGAGGATGAACACTCACCTGGTTTTCCTCCTCCTCTATCACGGAGTCTGAATACTTCCTGTTTCTCCCTCACCTGTACAGAATGGCTCCTCCCCTCTGTAGTTCCAGGTAAACATGTGGTAAAACACAGGATGTATGTAACACAGACCTAAGGGTGCTATCTTTATCTTTAAATTGCTTACTGATGGAGTTTTCTAAGAGCTT